CCACCACTCTCCCCTCTGCCCCTCCACTTAACTCCCATGGCTCTGACCCAGACCTTCCTGGGCTTATACAGTCCCTAACTTCTGTTCTTTCAAGATTTGTACCCTCCAACTCTGAAAATTGTCGGGAATCCCTTCTGGCCTGCCCGGTCTCAGTTGTTCAAAATGATCAGGGACAGCAGGTCCGACAACATTCGGCACTGCCTTTCCAAGACCTCAAGCTCTTGAAAGAATCTATCAGAGACTATGGACTTCAGAGCCCTTTTGTTCACCAAATGTTAGACACCTTTGAAACCTTTATTATGACACCTAATGACTGGAAGGACACTTTCCGCGAGGTTTTGAGCCCGGGGGATTATCTTTTGTGGAAGGGTCAGTTTACAGAACTCTGTGACCAGTATGCTCAAACCAATATTCAAAGAGGTTTTCCCCAACAAACTAAAGAAATGTTAACCGGGGAGGGTCCCAATTTTAGTACCAATCAGCAACAATGTTTATATAATCCTGCTGTTTTTGCACAAGTAGCCTTGGCTGCAAAATCAGCTTGGAAGGCACTGGGATCCAGGGGACAGCCTCACCAATCCCTTACAAAAATCCTCCAGGGCCCCTCAGAGCCATTTGCTGACTTTGTAGCTCGCCTTCTAACAGCAGCCTCTAGAATTATGGGTGAGGGCGAGCCTACCTCTATACTAGTCAAACAATTGGCGTTTGAAAATGCTAACAAATGGTGCCAGGAGGCCATTCGCCCATGGAAGGATAAACAGGATATTTCTGGGTACATACGCTTGTGTAAGGATATTGACGGGGCTACCGTTACAGGCACCATCATGGCCGCGGCTCTGCAGCCGTCAGCCCAGCACCCCACACGAGGCGGTACCTGTTTTGGGTGTGGTCAAAGGGGCCATTTCCGCAATGAATGCCCCTCCCGTCCTAATAGTTCCACTTCCTGGCCACAGGGAGGTGCCCTTATACGTCCTCGACCTCCCGGTCCCTGTCCTCGTTGCAAAAAGGGCCTCCATTGGGCTAATGAATGCCGTTCAAAATTTGATGTAACTGGCTCACCCATAACTCCTTTTCGTCAGTCAAAATTGAGGGGGACTCCAAGGCCCCAGGCCCCCCTCTCTCAGGGGCCATACCATCAAGTTCCACCTCTAGCTTCTTATCACCTTCCTCAGAATTACATGGCGAGCCAAACCCACCTTCCTCACAGCCTCTTTCCCTCTTCAGCCAGCTCCAACGAGCTGGGCCCTCCAGCCCAGGATTCGACCTCCCAGTAAAATCCCCTTCCCTTTTAACACCTGCTATGGGAGTCCAACCTATTTCCACGGGAATTCATGGCTACATGCCTCCTGACCATTTTGCCCTTGTTTTAGGACGCAAGCACTCTGCTATAAGGGGATTGTCCATCATTCCAGTCATCATTGAACCTTCCTTCTCAGGAGAAATTCAAATTTTAGCCATGGCCACACAGGGAGTGGTCTCTATCTCCCCTGGACAATCCGCGGCTCAATTAATCCCTTTTCCTTTTCATTCTCACATCAAGACCTGTCAGTCTCAACCTTTGAAAAGCCTAGCTAAAAACTCTCCTCCGGTTTGTGTCAACCTTTCTCTCCAATTAGACAGTCGGCCAATGATCTCCCTTCTCATAGAGGGCAAACACTTCATGGGTCTTTTGGATACTGGGGCTGATGTTTCCATCATTGCTCAAAATCATTGGCCATCTGCATGGAAACTCATTCAAACTAATACTTCCATTCAGGGTGTGGGATCAGCTTCCCATCCATCCCGCAGTTCTCGTCATTTACACTGGACTTCAGAGGAAGGTCACAATGGGTATTTTAAGCCCTATGTCCTCCCTCATATTCCCATGAATCTGTGGGGAAGGGATGTTATGTCCGCTATGGATATAATCATTACCACAAACTCCCCAGCGACTCGTTCCATGGTCAAAAGTGGTTATTCACCTGGCAAAGGGCTGGGAAAAAACCTTCAGGGTGATCCTTTGCCCGTTTCCATACCATCCTCCCAAATCCGCCAGGGAAAAGACAAGTCAGGGCTGGGATTTACCCCCCCTTTTTAGGAGGGGCCACTGAACTTCCGCCTTCTACTCCGGCTCCTCTTAAAATCACCTGGAAAAAACATGACCCGGTGTGGATCCCTCAGTGGCCCCTATCTAAAGAAAAACTACAGGCGGCTCATTCTCTTGTTAAGAATCAACTAACGGCCGGACACCTTGTTCCCTCTACCTCCCCATGGAACTTCCCTATTTTTGTCATCAAAAAATCCTCTGGCAGCTGGCGACTGTTACATGATCTCCGGGAAGTTAACAAAATCATGGTCCCTTTTGACCCGGTTCAGCGAGGCCTTCCCGACCCCTCAGGAATTCCCAAGAACTTCCCCATGGCCGTCATTGACATTAAGGATTGTTTTTTTTCCATTCCTCTTCATCCTGAGGATTCCCCTCGATTTGCTTTCACCCTTCCATCTGTCAATAATATCAGTCCAGCTGACCGTTACCAGTGGGTGTGTCTTCCTCAAGGAATGACTAACAGCCCAGTCATGTGCCAGGTCTTTGTTGCTACGGTCTTGACACCACTGCGACAAACATTTCCACAACTTTATCTTGTCCACTATATGGACGACATTCTGTTGGCCGCCCCCACAGAGGCATTACTTCAAGAGGCCCTTCATAAAATCTTCCATCTCCTCCGACAGGCTAATCTCATAATAGCCCCAGAAAAAATTCAATTACAGCCTCCTTTCAAATTCTTGGGTTTCTCTCTCACTCCGGAGACCTTCCGGCCCCTTAAAGGACAATTGATCACTCAGGACATTCATACACTCCATCAGCTCCAACAGTTCTGTGGAGACTTGGCCTGGCTTCGACCAACTTTGGGAATTCCCACGGGCACGCTCAAACTGTTGTTTGATTGTTTACAGGGTGACCCCTCTCCCACGGCACCTCGCCAACTTACCCCTGAGGCCCGATCAGCCATTCAACAGGTTAACTCTTGTTTACAGTCCACCATTCTTTGCCATATTGACCCCTCCAAACCCTTTACCTTTCTTGTTTTTGCAAGTGCCCTCACTCCCACTGGACTGTTTTGGCAGGAGTGTCCACTCCGATGGTCCCATTTATCAGTCTCTCCTAAACGGGTTGTATCCCCCTACCACACTTTGATAATTCAACTGATCCAGGCCTCTCTTTTTGAATCATTGACCATTTATGGTCGTTTGCCTTCAACCATTTCTGTGCCATACACAAAGCCACAAATACAAGACCTTTGTTCTTCTGATACAGATTGGATTCTCTGCGCTACTCAATTCCCAGGGGAATTCATCTCACACTACCCACGATCCCCCTTGGTCACCTTTTTGCAACGTCATCCTTTTTGCTTCCCTAAGGTCACCCGCACCAGTCCTATCCCAAAGGCACTCACCGTCTTCACCGATGGGTCTTCCAACGGCACAGCTGCAGTGGTTTCTTCTAGGGGCCAACACTCTTTTGCGGTCCCAAGTACCTCTGCCCAAATCGTTGAGGCTACGGCCATTATGGTGGCTTTCCAAATTTTCCACGACATTCCCATTAATTTATATACAGATAGTCAGTACCTAGCGCGGACCATCCCACTACTGGAGACGGCCCCCTATGTCTCGGACTCCAGCTCAGCAGTGACCATTTTAAAAAATCTACAAACTGTTATTCAGTCCCGTTCCCACCCATTCTTTATTGCACATATTCGAGGCCACTTACCTCTCCCTGGACCATTGTCTCTTGGTAACACAATGGCAGACCTCCTTACTAGAACTCCCCCCCGAGCCCACACTCTGCCTTCCAGCTATTCATGGAGCTCAACAAGAACATGCCAATCTTCATACCAATGCCTCCTCCCTGGCTATTAAATTTGGACTCTCCCGGCTTCAGGCTCAAGAAATTGTCCTGTCCTGCCCGGAATGTGCACCTTTCCGTCCTACACCACCATCTTACCAGGGTGCTAGCCCAAGAGGTCTTATTCCTAATCACATTTGGCAAATGGATGTCACTCACATTCCTCATTTTGGACGCCAATCCTTTGTCCATGTCTCCATTGATACTCACTCACACCTCCTCTTTGCATCCCCTCATAAGGGGGAGGTGACAAAGGATGTTATCTCACATTTGTGGCAGGCCTTTGTGTACATGGGACGGCCTCGTGTTATCAAAACCGACAATGGTCCGGCTTATGCTAGCCGATCCTTTGCCTCCTTTTGCTCTGACCATCATATCACTCACATTACAGGTATTCCTTATAATCCTCAGGGACAAGCTCTCGTAGAACGTGCCCATCAACACTTGAAAAATCAAATACAAAAACAATCTAATTCCACCCCACCAGACCCTCGCATTCGCCTGTCCAAGGCTCTGTTTACTATTAATTTTGCCTCCTTGGACACCCAAACTAAATTAACAAGAGCGGAGGTCCATTGGCAGACACAGACCAGTCATTCTATCCGCTCAGTTGTTTGGAAAGAGCCCCACTCCCTTAAATGGCAACCACCGGCTCCCGTCCTCGCCGAGGCGCCCGGATCCCTTTGTATCTTTCCTCCAGGTCAACCTCAGCCTCGTTGGATCCCTCTTCGGCTGACTCGCTTACTTCATAGTGCGCCCTCCGATCCACCCAATGAAGAGGCGCTTTCCAAACCTTCTGAAAATGATCCTCCACCTGCTACTACTCTTCCACCTCCAACTGCAAGCACCCCCCCCTCCTTTGCAACATGATTCATTGGACATTAGTTAATAATCCCCCTTTCCTTCTGCCAGTTTCCAGAAAGGGGGGTATTCTCCTGTCACTCTTGTCTACCAATTCCACCACTGGACTCCCTTCTATAGTGTCTTTCAATCTGTCGTTCAACAAACAATCCTCCCTCAATTGTACCTGTCACCTTTCCTCTTGTTGGTCCAGAACCCTCAGCAATTCCTTTGTTGTCATGCGTTTCCCTAAGGTCATTATTATGCCTGTCAATGTGTATGAGTCTACTTCTCAGGTAATCATCTGAAATCGATAAGCAGGTCCGGCGTTGGTTGTTGGCACCTTGATCTCCGTCTTCTCGACGCTGGCAGCTGCGGCCACGGTGGTCAGTGGCCTAGATCTATCCAACTTCGTACTCAATGCAGATACCAACAACCATCTCGCAGTTGGACTACTCCAGAGTCTCCAGCACCTTTCTCACACAAAATTCCATTAACAACCATCTCGCAGTCGGACTACTACAGTTGAATCCACAAGTTTCCTTAATACAGGAAGAAATTGACTTACTGACTTTAACTGCTCATGTTCCTTGTATTCCTACCTATGCCTTCATGTGTGTTACAACTGCCATCCTTTTCAACTATTCCTTTCAAGTTCATACCCTTAATGCCTACCTGCGCGGCCCGTGGAACCAAACTTTCTCAATTTTACTGCACAATTGGCTAATCAAATTCTAACCATTAACAACATCCGTGCTTCAGTACAAAATCCTTGGGGGAAGCAATATCACTCCTAGGTACAATCCTCTTCTGCCTGGAAATCATTTTCTACATCCTGTGGTGCCAGTGGAATAGACGTGGTGCCAGTGGAATAGACGAAAAATCTGCAAGTAGCTCTCCAAAACGTGTGCTATTCTCCATTACAGCCCACTGAAAATCCCAGGGTGTGGATAAACACTGCCCTTGACCACCTGTAGGCCAATGACGGGTAAGATGGTGGTGTACCCGTAGCAACCTAAGACAGCTCCACTACCTTACCTAGGATCCTGGTAGTGGGTGGCTATGACGGGTAAGCATGTGAGTACGACTGCCACAACCTAAGACAGGCCCAGTGTGTGTCCCCCCCATCAATAAAGTAAAAACGGGGGAGATGTCAGTACCAGGCTTACACCAGCAGGGGGACCTGGGGTGGTGGTCGCTTCCGCCCAAAGATGAGTCACTTCCGCCCAAAGCGGAGGCTGATGCAACAGTAACCGGATGTTGCAAATCCACGTAAAGTGCATGCGCAGGCTTTCCGATATATAGCCCCTCCCCTAAAATAAAGAGAGTTCCTGCAGCCATCCATGTGAGTAGAAGCATCTTTTCATCCCCAGCCCCTCCGCCGTGTTCCTGAACCCCGTCGGCCTGCAGGCAGGACCGGCACTTGTCATTTTGCTGGTCTTGAATAAGAATTGTAATTATACTTCATGGAATTAAAAAAAGGTTAATTTGTTTCAAAGAAGCAAATTTTAAATAAATGAATAATTCTACAGGTTTAATATTGTTTGTATGAACGTTATAGACTATTAGAACAATTAGGTGATAGGCTACACTTCAAATTTCCTCTGAGTTTCTAGATTCCTGTCTGAGAATCTAAGATGGATACTTAAAATCTAAGAGAACAAGTTTACCAGAAGATTCATTCAATATTTCTGTTCAACTGCTGCAAATCTATACTTCTATAAAAGCATGGAAAACCAGATTATGGATTTGTGATTCTCACAAAAAAAAGTCTAGCCATGCAGAGCTAATTGAAAGCCCAGGGTATTTCAATAACTCAATCAATTAATATTGAGAATTAGCTGTATGCTCAGCTCTGTGCAGTCAAGAGTATAGGGAATATCTTAGTGGAAAACACACACACAAACATGCACACACAGAGAAAGATTTTGACTAACACACGACATAAAATGTTTAAAATATCTTTGTAATTTTTTAACGTACATATAGCTTTGGCAAATATTTTTCAAGTGTCTATTTCCCAAACATACAAAAATAAAATACAAAATAGCTGAGTTAGCACACAGCTCACCAGTCTTCTAGTCAGTCATGTTTGAATATATTTCTTTGGTTATCAAGAGAGAGTTTTATAGGTTATAGAGAGTTGTAAAATTTTAATTTTCCTATATAACATAACTCCTAAAGTCTCCAACTTCCTCCACATAAAATTCTGTTTCACTAACTCATTTAGAGTCTCTGTTCCTTTGCTGTGAGCATTGATTTCTAATAAAACCATAAAATGAAGCAGTTACTTCAGTGTGAATCACTTCTTTGGAAATACACAAACACACACACACATATACAAATACACACACATTAACACATGCAATCTGAGAGGATTCAAATTACAGGGAGTAATTTAGTCAATAGTATTAAAGTGAAAACAAATAATTTGGCATTTATTTATTTCGACAGAGCTGGTTTGCTTATGTGGTAAGTAATATTTGTTAGACATTAAAAATAATTTCAAAAGTTTAGGTGGAGTCAATTTACAGGGGGAATTGAATCCCTCATAACTGCTACTTTAAAATTATTTTTGCTATTTTGTTATTGCTGTTGAGCTTATGACATTTGGGGGGAATCACTGAGATAAAGAACCTCTAGTATGTCCCCTTTCAAGAAGGTATTCCAACAGAAAACAAAAGAGAAAGGAATTTTAAGAATTGGGAGACAGTTTCAAATATGTCATTATAGTCCAAAAAATTGCAAATAAGAAATAATGCACTTATCAATAAGAAGAGGGGAGGAATCAGATGGTGGTAGAGAGACTCTTGACTTTTGCTGCTGAGAGTTGTGTTGTATATACATTTGTTGAAATGTGAAGTTGTACCCCTAAAAATTATACATTATTACAAATCAATGTCACCTTGCTAACCAAAAAAAAGAACACAACATTTTGATAAGTTTGGTGACAGAGAAACTTGCATTGCATAAACCGTTCTCTGTTTGTTCTAGATTCCTTGGAGAAGTGCTACCCCAAGCAGATATTACAGTTGATCTGAAGGCTAGAAGAAATATATAACAGATGGATGAAGAGGTAGAAAAGAAATAGAAAAGAAAGATAAAATTCCATAAATAGAAGACAATAAACATAAGATCAGGAGAAAGAACAAACCAGAGAAAGTGTTGGCTACAGTCACTTAGGTTACAAAAAGCTCTACACATTAGAAGACACTATCAGCAACCTTCAGTGGAGAGAAGGTAAGAGGTTGTTTCAGTTATAATTTAAAGCATAAAATTTATACTTTAATTGTAACTTTATGGAAAATTAGTGAAGAATTTTAAGCAGGAAGCTAATGTATAATTTAAGATTTTTAAAATGGTTTCTTTGATTAAATTGGAGAAATCTAAGCATGAAAAGAGAGAAATATATACTTGCTTTTATACAAAGATGTGAGTTTAAATTAGGTATCGTACCATGAAAATTGGTATTTGTTATATGGATCTAAATTACAGTGCTTGATTTTGTATTTTTTTAAAGATTTATTTATTTATTTGTTTGTTTATTTGTTTGTTTATTTATTTATTTATTTACTTATTTATTTATACAAGAACCAGGGTGCAGGCCAGGTGCGAGGGAGGGTGAGAGGATTCCCCAGAGACAGAGTGGGGAACAGAACACGCAAACTGACGAAATACACTGCTGAGGGGAGTAGTGGGCGCAACAAGAGAGGTCTGCCGCTCCAGGTGGGACCCTCGCCAACCAGCACTGCAGAGGCTGCGGACAGCTTCACAGCGCTGCGCTCAACCTCCTGCACCACCAGGGGAGGCCCTTTATTTTGTATTTTTAAAAGCACTTTAGTATGTTATCATGCCTATAAATTGCACTTCAAGAGGAATCCAGGGTTGTACAGACTGACAATGAAGATGAGAACTGAAGAACAAGTCATACAAACCAGGGGAAAAAGAAATGTTAAGTGCAAGGGCCCTGGATTAGGAAAAAGCTTGGCATAATGAATAAATCAAATTGTGGAAAGAAGTAATTTTGAAAAACAGGAAAGAGTGGTGGTATTATTTTATTATTAACCTGAGGACTAAAACAGTTTGTTACCTGTGAAAAGTTTTCATTAGTCTCAAGCATTTTAAGAACTGGGATCCAGATTTTCTAAGTACTGTATTGCACCGATATTTTCCTGAAAATATTGTAGTAAAATGCCCATAGCCAACAATATTATATCCCAAAGTAAAATTGGAGATTTTAAACACACTATATTGTCAATGTAGTAGGCCAATTAATATGTATCCCCAAAACTATATAGGTAATCTTTAAAATTTTACTTTGCCACCAGTCTAACTTCAGATTCTTTGTGGACTAATTTAATTTACTGTCTAATGTTTTTCTAGCATTCTGCTTTAATCTGCACTTTAAACTTTCTGAATGAAAAATTTACAATTTTTCTAGTATTAAATTGTTAGTAGTTCCTGTTATCTTATGACTTAACTTTGGAAAATTTCACAGTTCTGAATAAAACATGATTGCAAATACCTACAAATTCTTGAAAATTAACTGACTAAAACATTGGTTATCTATTCCCTGTATCTTGGATGAGGATCTACATGAAAATTAGCTCAGAGAATAAAGATCCATAAAGTGAATGTATACTCCCAATCAATAAAGATTCAAAACTCTCCATAAGTCAAAATGACAATTAATGTATATAATGAACAAAAATTGTGTATTTCTATAAAACTGGTACAATTGATTTGGGAATCTGTCAAAATATTTTATAGAAAATATAATAGAATTGGGAACAGTCTAAAAAAATCAAAATGATGAAAAGAACAAGGACAAACCTCAAGAGAAGAGATCTACTGATGAGTCTTGTCTTGACCAATGAGAGTATTGTTGTCAAAATCCACCCAATCATTAAAATGGTACAGATAGAACATATCATTGTGGCACCTGATTGTGGACTGAATTCTAGCTCCGGCACTTATTTACTGTATAAACGTGAAATAGCTTTAATATCTCTTAGGGACGTTGCTTTCTGATCTGTTAGACACAAATTACAATATGCCAAGTGTTGGGGGGGGTTATAAGTTAAATTATATCTATCATCATTGGACCCAACATATAGAGGAAACTCAGCAATTATTAATTTCTATATTTCTACATCCTATCTTTAAATTGAAAATGTTCCCAATAAATTCAATACTGTTTAATAGAATAATCATGATGTCCTCCCTGGTGGTGCAGGCAGTTGAGCGCAGCACTGTGAAGCTGTCTGCAGCCTCTGCAGCATGGGTTTGATCCTTGCCAGCCGCAGAGATACCCACATAGCACAGCAGACCTCTCCTGTCATGCCCGCAACTCCCCTCCCCTCAGCAGTGTATTTCAGTCAGTCTGCCTGTTCTGTTCCCCACTCTGTCTCTGGTGAATCCTCTCACACTCCCTCACATCTGGCCTGTACCCCGGTTCTTGTATGCATGAATAAATAAATCTTTAAAAAATAAGTTGCCAATTTTAATGTTGAAGCACCCCCAGATAACTTACATCACCAGGGCATACAAGTTAATCCTGGGAAGGCAGTGGCATGATGGGAAGGCCCATACCACTGTCACTCTCCAGTGCTAGGGGAGGTCTGAAGATGCCTTTGGTAGGTATCATTCTTACAAGGTGTCACCAAGAAACAAACAGTGCAGGGCCTCCCCAGTTCGATCCCCAGCCACCGCGAAGGTCCCACATGGCACACAGACCTCTCCTGCTGTGCCCACTGCTCCCCTCAGCAGTGTATTTCGGTCCATCTGCCTGCTCTGTTCCCCGTTCTGGCTCTGGTGAAGTCTCTTTCCCTCCAGTGCTACTGACTGTACCCAGTGCTTGTATACATAAATAAATAAATCTTTTTAAAAAAAAATGTTAAAAAAAAGAAACAGTGCAGTGGAAAAGATTCCACATATATTATGTTGGAACAATTAAGAATTCCTCACTAAGTAATGGTAAATATATATCAAAGGCATCATTTGCACGTAAAAAATCCTTCTCATAATAATTATTTAACTCAATGTCTAAGATTGTCACCAAAGATTCCACTTTCTTGAATTCTCATATTTATTTAAGATCACAATATATATAGGATATATAATCTTGATGTTACTTGTAATTTTAGTCAAATTTCTGAAATGCCATCTCAGTATGTTAAATAAAAGTGGTAGCCTTTTTGAAAATAAGATTTTCTTTGATAAAACACAAACAATCAAATTTATTTTATTAATTTAGCTTGTCATATATCTAGAGACATAACATTAAATCCAATGAAAAGCATGTTATTGAATTTCATACGTCATTTTGTTGGCATTCTTAGCATTTAAAGAAGATATAAATAACATATTTTCCTGTATGATTTTCTGCTCTTGAACATTAGAAAGTAACCATCATTTCCCAAAGAAACATTGGTGGGGGGTCTCTGTCTCTGCTTTTTCTTACCAAGACATTAAATAATGAATAATATTTCCTGTTTCATATTAGTGTAAAATCCTGTTCTAGATGTGCTTTAGTGGCGTTTACAGCCTAGTGGGAAAAGATAAACAAGCAAATAAATAAGTAAACAATGTCATGGGGATTTAATTATTGTGTAGAACAACAAAGCAAGTGAAGAATCAGAGTATGCTGAAGAAGCTACAATTATTTTAGATAATAAGGTTTAGAAAAAGTGTCTCTGGTAACAAGGTATTTGAGAAGAGGCCTGAATAAAAAGGTGGGGGCACAGAAAGGAATTTTGCAATTATTTACCAGAGACATAGTCATTGGGGCAGAAGGAAAGTGAAAAGATTCTGAAGCTTGTGTATGGTATGCAAGAGTGACAATAAGTAGAAAAATAATGAAATAGATGGCACAATTAAGTGTTATCCCTAGTAATAGAAAATTGGAGCGGGGGTGTTGTTATTATTGCTGTTATTTTCTCATCATCTGCCTCTCCCTATGCCTCGACATTCCATTCAGTTTTATTTTTAAAACCATTATTGAACTGAAGATACATAACTGTCATCCACCTTGTTATGCTATCGGGGTCTAGATACAATATAATGTTCTTATACTTCTTATAACTCTGCCTTTAACATCCAGTGTGTTTGCATATACAAGATATTCATATATTTATACACACACATCATTTTTTGCTTGCATAGCTCATCATTTATTTCACTTCCTTTAAATGTTTTTGAATTTCTTATTTACTTTGTAATGTAAAATTGTTCCACACTGTACCTAATTCAACATTTTGGAGATTTTTGCATTTGTTCTGCTTTGATTCAGCAGCCTATTGTGAAAACAGGAGTCTTTCTTCAGCACTGTGTTGTACTTTTTCCATATATATGTTTTATTTCCTCTTCTCAGAACATCATTAGACAAAGTTATAAATTATGTATATTTTATTCACAGATAAACTCGTAGGATACAACCTGACAAATTACCCTAATCATCCAAACTATCTTTCTAACTCATTCTATAGCTCCTAATCTTGGTATCCTCTGCTTTTCTGCCAATTTTAAGTATACACAAAAATAGAGTGATCAGGATAATAAGGTCTCATGTAGCCATCACATGAATTTCATTATCAATTCATGAATCCTTTTTCATCTCTGCTTCCATCCACATTACCCACCTGCTCTGCCAAGTATAATTTTGCAGCAAATCTCAGTTCTTATATTATTTAATATACAAACATATTAATTGGTACCTAAAGAATAAAACTTTCAATATATGAATATAATACATTATCAAACAAAATGCAAAACCCACAATAATTTCATATCACCATGTATTCAGTGAATATTCAATTTTTTAAATAAATTATTTTATTTTATATAATTCTTACATCAATTTTCATTTTTACTTAATGTATGCATTTTCATTTTGGTTATATTCCCCATACAATTTCCACTCCCTTTTTCTGATCCTAATCCCTCTTGTCCTCCCCCGCCCACCTACTGTGGTGTGTCTCTGGTCTATAGTTGCCTGTTGATTTTGATTTTTACTTTATTGCAATTAGTCTTTTTCCTGGTCTCTTATTTAGGTTTTCTAACTTCCTACTATGAGTGAGACCATCCGGTATTTTTCTTTTTCTTTCTGGCTTATTTTGCTGAGCATGATCCCTTCCAGTGCCATCCATGTTGCTGCAAATTGTATGAGTTTATCTTTTTTGATTGCTGAGTAATATTCCATGGTGTATATGTACCACATCTTCTATATTCAAATTTACCCA